CGTAAAATCGTAACCATTCATTGCAACATTCATTCCAATCGTAACCATTCATAATATCCTTGACAAGAACCGGGAATGGTGATATGTTGCAAACTAACCCTTTCTCGTCCGACTTTTTTGTTATTACAGTTGACAGTAAAGAGTGACGTAACAACCCAATACAAGATCCTTCTTCAAGGATTAATCACAACAGAGCAAAGAGACCTGGATGTTAGTGGTCACGTGGTGTCTTTAGCGGAAGACACTTGAGCTTTCTTACAAACGTGTTGTGAAATATAACTCTTCGTAAAGTTTTGTCATACGAAATGTGACACTCGTAATACTTAAAACGTTCTAAGAAGCGTCCAGGGGTTTATTTAATTTAATTTAGAGGAGAATCTTATTTAACACTCATTTGAGGCCATTGTTTTATTTCTGAACAGCAGCCCAATTTTGATGAATTCCGTAAAATGTATGTATTTCTTTGGTTGGAAAACCGACCACGTTGAAAACTGAAATTGATGCAGGCTTCCGAGTATAATCACATTTTTTACTGAAACACTTCCCAACCTGAATGAATAACAACGCCATAGCATTACCATTTGTATTGCGTCATTTCACTACTAATCAACGTGTGCTTTTTAAACGAATTTCGTGTTCTAAAGAAACTGTGGTGCTGCGTCGGTGGGTGAGTATAACGGAGTAACTTAGTGTCATCAACGGAGTTGATAACGTAAATTGGCCACCGTAGGGAGTGTCCAGAGTAATTCGGAATCACTTTGGTTTTGTTTTACTTCGCTTTTTAATTAGTCCGGGACATTCGCACCACTGGTGAGTTGTCTGGTATTGGTCATCCTGTCGAGGCTGTGCGTATAATTTTGTACCCCTGCGTCTAAAGTCCGTGTGATTGGACTACAGTCAAAGAATTGAACGCGATGTTTAGTGTACATGCTGTGGAAACGAAATGATGATAATATTTTACTCGAGTGTGTAATTATTTGTATCAGAATATATTCGGTATTTCAATTATAGTTAATCGTTTCAGTATAAATTTGTACCTTTATTTGTTTAAGGTAAGATCAAATGTATTAGTTTGATACGTTGCACGCAGTTTTTAGTGTCGCTGTGTTTCGAACTGTGACAAGCTTTTACGACACTGCATTTAAGGCGTGAAAATAAAGCTTTGGAAGAAATGTTATGCCTCTCATTTCTGTGTGCAGAGTTATTGAGTGAACAAGGTGCGGACGATTATCCGGCCGATGTACTGGCAGACTTACAGTCTAACTGGCTGCCTGACTTACTGACTGTCTGAATGACAATTTGGATGGCAGTGCCAGTTAATCGATTGACGGCCTGACAGGCTCACCGACTAACCAACAGATTGCTTTTTTGGCTTACCCGGCGACCGATTTTCTGGCCGACTAACGCCCTAAGTAGCTGACTGGTTCACTGACTGACTGGCAGACCGATTGCATAAAGGGGTAATTTTTCAAAGAAACTGTGGTGCTGCGTCCGTGGGAGAGTATAACGGGGTTACTTGGTGTCATCAACTGAGTTGATAACGTAAATTGGCCACAGTAAAGATCTGAGAAGCCGGCGTTTCGAGCGTTAGCCCTTCGAAACGAGCGTTAGCCATCCCTTCCAATTGACTAACTTATTGACTGACTGACTGACTGACCGACTAACTGATTCACCGACTGACTGACTGACTAACTGGCTGACCGACTGATTCACTGACTAATTGATTCACAGACTAATTCACTGACTGACTGACTGGCTGACTGACTGGCTGACTGACTGACTGACTGACTAACTGGCTGACTGACTGGTTGACAGACTGAGTGACTGACTGACGTGCCCTAGCCGCTTGCTGTGAACTTTACAACTGAATAGAGCACAGTCAAGGCTTCTTTATTTGCTATTGAGCTAGTTCGTTCCCAGAAACAACGTTCCCCTAATCCCCCGCGGAGAGGAATTGAGGACCTCGACTTGGTTCCTCCCCTGCAAAAGATTAAAGGTAATGAAATTATTTTTGGGAACAATTTTTGTGTCTACTGCCTTAGAAAGCAGTAGGCAATAGTCATCGAAAAAAGGCGAGCGGGTAATTAAATTGGTAACACCCCGTACCCAATCAATCTAATGAGTACACGATTAAATACGCTGGAGTTTCGCCTGTGCTCAGGGTTCTTCCGACCAATTTTCGTTCCCGTGGTGTTCACAACAAATGATCAACTGAAATTGAGGAAAATGGCATCCGGGCGGCCGCGCGCAGTTCCCAGCAAAATTCCTCTTTTTCGGCTTAAATGGATTGAAGAACCGGCTACTAGCTTCAAAATTAGCATTTCAAACACTTGTGCGAGCTCCAAGGAGAAAAGCAATCGGAAATGGAAGTATTGCGAATGTAGAAGCAGATGTAGTAAATCCTATTTCACCGTTACATAGGCTACCGGTCAATACAGCTATTCAAATTTATTAAAAACGGAAACTTTCAGTCTAAGAGTTCTGCTTTGTTTGTGAATGTGAGACCTTTCAAAGTATTGGAAGCAGTTAACTCTGCAAGAAGGAAGGAAATTTCTTTGATTTGCTCATTACAACTAGCTGACGTAAGCAGGGTCTTTTTTCTGACGAAAAGTACCATTAAGTAAGCATTAAGTTTATCAGTTTCACTAGGGATTCTTTGTGAGGATTTGAACTCCTCAATACCAAATTTAGAAGACCACTGCATAGGGTTTACATAATAATAATGGTTTCTCTGATTAACTATATTATTAATTGTACTTAAACTGCTCATTCTCGTCAAGCCTACTTTATCCCTACTAGCAGAAGACACATGCAGCCATTGGCTGCCTACTTTTGTGATTTTGGCGGGAAATGTAGGCTCTAATTATGCGCATGCATAAGTAGAGGTGTGGCGTGAACGAAAAGATTGCCATTTTCAAGTATGGCTGGAGAATTTTAATTACGTTTTCAAAGTGACAATCTTGTTCTCAGTTTTCATGGTGCAACGTAATTTAGACGGAGTGGAGGAAAGCTAGAAAGAAGCTTAGTGTAATCACATAAAAACGTTGAGTATGCAAATTAGTAAGAAGCTGAAGCCCACCTAGATGACATGCTGATAAATGGCCAGGATTACATGAAGCACTGCCCGAATCCTGCTTATTGAGGAGTACCACAATGATTTCCTGAGTCGCCATTTCTAGATAACCCAGTCACGAACATGGCAAATTCGCTTCAGGTGAGAGATTAAACTTTCACTATCTTAATGTGATTCAAGTTCGAAAAATTGTCTCCAAACCAAAATTTCATGGGTAGCGCCTACGGTAAACAATATCTTATTTCGGTAACACAAAGATGAAAACGAGTTCTGGAAATATTGTTGAAGGTCATTAATTCTCTCTCATAAAAACCAGCTTGAGAGAACAGCATTTACGACCAACGGGAAATAGGTTTGTAGACATGAGACGAGGAAATACTCGGAAGTACTAAAGGGGCTGGAACATTTTTCATGTGTGATAATCCACTCCGGATAAATACAGTAAGACTCTTTAAGATGCAAGCTTGGGTTGTACTTCTGATATTGGCCAGATTTTTCCCGTGTCTTTTGTTCTTAGCACGAACTGCACGTGCTGGTTTGCACTTGCTCGCAATTTGCATATACTCCTCAACAACAATGTTTACGTAAGCTCAAATGTGGTTTAATTCCTTTCAGTTTCAGATTAAAAGGCCTTAAAGCCCAGTAGTCTTGATTCTTTTAAAGAGAATATTTTGCTATGCGTCGCGACGCTTTGGCATCCCAAAGTACACCCTGAATTCCAACGTGCTATTCTAACAAAGAGCATTTGAGTAATCATAGTGTTAGGGCGCCTAAAAGACTATTACTAGAATGATCTGATGTACTTCCTTTCACAGATCTTTACTTGACTAAATATTTTTCTTCTCCCACACTTAATTAAAGATCTTCCGGCAAGTTTTGTAGATCTACGATCTTTAATTGTTATTACGAGATACTTTGGGGAGGACAATGCAATAAACTGAGTTATTTCCGCAGGTTCCTGGGTCCCTGTTCGATTTTCAATAGCACCTTCAAATTCCTTTCCAGTTGTGAAAGAGTGGCGATGTATGTTTAGTTTAGCGGCTATTACACTGGCTGTTATTGGAGAAGGTAACCAGCTTCCATTTTCTTTGTAAGTTGTTCATGTATCTCTTCTCTACATCGGGAACTTCTTAATTTTAATCTTAAACAGTTGTCAGGGTACGATCCATTTTTCCGATCCGTTCTGAAACACTTCCGGCCGGTGTTGAAATACACTGGCTGCTCATTAATTTTATTGCGAATGAATAATTGATGATTCCTATTGAATTGTCAATATCCACCCATTCACCCCAGTTCTGAGTTAGTTCTAAACAAAATGTCGCCACAAAGTTTTTACTTTGCTGGTTATCCAAATATTCCACTAATTAATCCTATTCACAAACATTTCCGGCCCGTGTCGAAATACATTAGGTGTCATTACTTTTTTTGTAGGAACAATTGATGCTTCCTAATGGATTGGGAACTTTCTTTTACCTCAGTTTGAAACTGCATCTTCTGAAATGTCGGCTTAACAGACCGATGGTCCAAATATTTGCTCGTCGACCGTCGAAAGCCTCATTTTACGCGATCAACAAGTGAAAGGCAATTCCGTGCCCATGATAGACTTATGACAAAAACGGAAACTACTGGACGTAAAGTCTGGGAGTCTAAGCATGCAAGACAGACGAAGATTTTTACTAAGAACTCTATGACCATTTCGAACGTTACCAATGGTAGGGAATTATAAGGCTTAACTAATTTTTTTGCTAAAAATCATCTTTTCTTTTTTTTTTTAAAGAAATCCCCCAATTTTTTTTTTGTCCTCGGGCGTGAGAATTTATCGTATTAAAATTCTTAATATTTCTGAGCTACTTGCAACGGGTAACATGGTTGAAGCCACGATCCAAAGAAACAGTGTACTCAAAGGTTAACATTGCGTACTTTCAGATGGTTTCACATCTCCTATCAACATGTGTTTCGATCTTTTTTAAACAAATCAACAGACCAACTGCCCTAGCTGATGAAATAAGAGCCCTGCAGATGATTGATTGAATTATGATGTCAGCATTACTCAGCCATTTGCGTGCGAAACCAATGCGGCGTATTTTCATTAACAAATCAGTAGTGCGAACTCCTTTCTGAGATGGGACCAGAATGTATTAAGGCTAAACCTACAGAGTTTATAGGAGAAAGAGATTGATTCTGAAACTATGCTCAATGAAAACGTAGTAGATAGTTTATTAAAACTCCTTTAGAAAGAAGCTACGCACCGGCATTTTTAAATGATGCACCCTGAAACAATAATTTGCTAGCCTAAAAAAAAAACGTTGGAGAGATGGAGATAGAACGGAAAAAGGAACCAATAGGAAAAAAGAAGATCGACGCGAATTGCAAATGACGGAACTGGAAAATTCAGGCTAAATTTTCATCAGACACAACTTTAGCCCTTTTGAAAGTGTATATCGTTTAAGGACTAAAAGGATGTATCGCAGGTACTTCTCATAGAGGGATGGTAAAGTCTTTTGAAAACTGTAGAAAAATCTTTTCCATGGTTTGCTTGGTGGAAAGGTAAACATATTCCAGTTTCGAAACTACCGTAAAATTGTTTTCTGCTTTCGTGATAGAAATAGAAATACAAACAATTCTATATATAGATAAACAGATATCGTGGAAGGTTCTCGCAAATGAGAGCAGAACAAGCGAGAAAGCCGTAAATCACCATTTTAAATAACGTATAGGGGAATTTTTTGGTGACAATATTAAGACGACAATATTATTATTTATGGAAATTTTTCTTAGTAATTGTTATTCTCTGATGAAGTGGAAGCGTTCATGCATTGTAGAGTGACCTTTCAAATGATTCAATGATTGATTGATTTGTTGAATGACTGTGTGCAATGTTAGTTTAGGTGCGAAACATTATCTTTTAGGATTCCTTGATCCGAATTTCTACGCTGTTTTTCACCTACTGCTAAGTATAGTTAACGGCAACATGATGAATACTTAGATTCTGCCAGCAATTTCGGCTTGATGCAGACATCTTGTCTTAATGTGGGCAGTTGATCAGACTGCCGTACGTCGATCGGCCAGATAGAGCAAGCTGCGACAACATGAGTTAAAGAATGCTCGCCTATGATTGGCCGTCCGCGTCGTAAAGCTTGCACGAACAATACTTAATTGAAAAACTGACGGTGTGGCGACAGTACTATCCTACAAATAAAACACAACTGATCCAGAACCAAAGCCTTCTAACCAAGAAAACAATTGAGGGATTGCAAGAATCAATCATAAACACAAAGGCAGTGAGATTTGAAGCGTATGATTTGTTGTCCGTGATGACGTCAATAGGGGCTTGCAAGCGGGGCACGCCGACCATGCGTGAATGTCACGCCGGTCGTGAATCCGTTTGGTTCATTCCTGCACGATACACTGTAAGAGATACGAGTAAGAGATACAAATTCTACGGAATATTTGATCGGACTCAAAAGGGCGGTCCTTGATTGCGCAATGTTTGACAGATTCTTTTCGAGGTAATCATTGGATTAATTTTTTGGACGCGCTCCCACTGAAGAGGTTGCATTGCAGTCCGGGAAGGCGTGCGTGATTTTTTCCTCGACCAGGTGCGTTGAAATCTTAAATCTTGAATCATTAAATATAACTTCGTCATTTTGTCAGCTGCATTTGAATCGTTTGGATTACTTTTTTAATTTGAAGGCAAACCAATAGTCTTATCCACATCGCTTTTCCAAACACAACAACAAGATTGTAAAATGGCGCAAAATTTTTCTTCGTTATGTACTGTATACTTGGGTGAAATATGATTTTTCGTTTACGGACTCAACAAAAACAGTTACTAGTCAAACGGAATTGGAAGGCAGCGCAAAAGTTCAGTTACTTTGAGGTATACGGGGTGATATGTAAAATTTCTAGGTCAAAGCCCTTTGCTCACTTACTGTACACAATGAATTATTATGCTTTGTCCACGAAAGCATTTTATTCCATCGTGGCTGTGCCGGAAAGAATTTCAAGAGATACAAAACAGGACGCGTAGATGAGCAGGACATTCCATTTTTCAAGCTGTTAGTGACTAAATGAAATTATTCTCTTATAAGGACGGTTCTGAAAAACCTTTCATATTTTTTGTTCTGACAATTTCTCTTGCCTAAATCAACCAAACTATACATTACAACGTGCTAGCTCTCACGCATTGCCATTACAGCATGGAACTCTTACCGATATGGTTTGCAATATCACTTTTTTTTCATCGCCCAGAGTGACTCCAGTGAAACGTAACTGACCCACTAAAAGCGTCGTTAAAGTTTTTTTCAGATCTGCCTTGCTTTTAAATTGGGCAACGAGAACTGGCAATATCAAAGGACAATATTCGTAGGTTGTTTCCCTAGAAATTTTACAATAAATTCGTTACCTGTTCAGTCGATGTGCACAAGGCAAGTGTGGATTCATTGTCTCAAGGAAGCATTTAGTCATTGTTCTATGAATTTTAGAACAGGCGAAGTTCATTGCGTGGTTAAGTTTAAGTCGTGCCAGTGAATAAATTGAAGAGTGATGGTTACATATCGTAGAGTTTCATTAGCCAGATTTGCACGAAGATCCGATCTTTTTTGTATACTAAACTTTGGTCGGCCTGTTAAAATCAAGTTCTCACTTATGAAGGAGCAACTAGCGAGAATGTTTTCTCCCCTCAGTTAAAACATGACCTATTAAAGTAAAGGCCTCGAAACTGTTGTAATGTTTTAATGTATCACATCAATGTTCTAATTTTGTTCGCTTTGGCTGTTGTCGGATGATACCACGCCAATCCGATCGAGTTCCACTAAATTGAGTTTCAAATCTTTTTTAAGGAGTAACTCAATATCCTCTCATCTTAGTGTTTGAAAAACAGTGGTAAATTTTAGGTTCTATGAATAATGTACATGTAATCGAAAACTGACTTCTTTTCTAGAGACAAGCAAGAATGATCAGAATAAGATCATGATGATAAGATGTTCGTGTCCCTTGTTGTTAACAACAGCTTAATTTCAAAGTAGGTTGTGATGCATGTTCTGACTTGCTTCTGACAGGGTTTTAAGCTTGTTTCTCGGTAAACATTCTCGATGGGATGCCTTTTTTGTTTTGTATATTCTTAAAATCGATCTGTTAATGAAATTTAGAAGCTCTTATCACACCAATGTTGGTTATTGATATCAGTGGTAAAGACTGAAAGAGCTTGCGTCGAGATATCGTGTGGGGAAGTAACTTAGATGTAACCGTTCAAAGAAAGCTTACAGCACTCATGCTGTTATTTTACACAATACCGATGTCACAAGCCAAGGCAATTTCCGTGAGATGCAAAGTTATCAGTTTGTTAAGAAATTGTTATACAGGGTCAGTCGGCAGGGAAGAGATTTAACGCTAAATTGCCTGTCAAAATTTAATATAATTCAAATGGACACAATACCCTTGGCTTTTCGAATTCACTTTAGAGGCTTGCCTTCTGCTATCAACCTCTTGTTGATAAACAAGCAAAGAAAAATCTAATAGTTTTGTTATGTAATTTTTTAAAATTCGCTATTTAACACAATTGGAGAATTGATTTACTACTGGATAACACAGTAACTTACTTCAACCCATATCTTTGGTACATGAGGTCAAATAATCAGCTCTGTGCCAGTCCATTGTCTTTTTATTTGAATCCTACAACGGAGTTCATTTCTTTTTCTTTTCGATGAGAGAATCTGCTTCGAATTTCGAGAATTCGAATTCTGTCTAGCTAAGTGGCTTTATGTCAAATATATAGACGAGTAACCATGGGTGCATCTCTCAAGTAACTTTCATTGAACTGGAATCATGCTTCGACGACGAAAGGGCCGAGTAAAGAAAGGCAAACATGTCAAGTATCGTGGATGAAATTCAGTTTATGAGATTAAGGGGAGTCTAAGTGAATAATGTGTAAATGTTATTACGAGGCAAGATGACCTTGAATTTGTGATACAGAACACAGATGGAATTCGCGCACTCGTTTCCGGAAAAAATAATTGAATAGAACTGGCCGTAAACTACAAACAGTTGTTAATGTGCGGTCGTTCCATCAAATAAAATCAGTTGTGATTATTTATTTTTCTTTATGATAACCTAACTTTCGTTCGAACATTGTTCAGTAAATTGAATACTGAAAATGCAACTTGCAAAGTAGACTCCAAGATATGCTTGACTTGCATCCAATTGCAACATTATTTAGGGAACTCCATGCCTTTCCGTGTTATGTTGTTCAGTAGCAAGCCTGAACTGAAACTAAAACTGGTCCTTCATCCGTCTGAGAATTCATTTTAATACGCAGAGGAAAAGGCACTTCATTGGGTCTCTCATCTAGACTCTTAATAGTTCACGAATCAACTTAGCAGCGACAGCTAAAATGCAGGTATTGCAGGCATTCCTCTTGAGAAAGACTGTTTTACAGTTGGGTTTTACAACGGAGATTGATCAATGCAAAAAATTTTGACAGAACATCATAATAGCATTGAGCACTGATGGATCCTAGTCGTTCGAAAAAGCTCCAAACAAAGAGCGAGGCAAACAGAGCACTAAATTCATAGGTCGCAAAAGGAGCATGGAATCTTTTCTTCTCTGTCAAGGTTCAACACGTTTAATCCAGAAGTGCAAGGGCCGAGGGTTCAATGTTGTATTTATGTTGTTCTTAACAAGGACAAAAGCTCTTCAAAACAGGGCAAAGAATATCCCACACAGTCATAAAACGTCAGCAAAAGGCGGACTGTACTTCTTGCTGAAGAGAGAGATAATCGGCGGATTAGCCAAGAGCGAAGAACTGCTTGGTCCATTTTATTAGGTAACACTTTTAGTCCTATATTCACTGTTGTAAGCTTGAATGATTAACAATGAAATTTGCTAATTGAAGTGCTTTAAGACTGTTTTAGGCAAGACAAACGATTAGTTTTGCTAATAAAATTATGTAATATGAAGTCAAATTTGTATCTTTCTAGCTGTGGGCTTCTCTTTCCATGAAAATCATGGCGCACGTCGAAAACGAAAGAAAAGCCGAAAAAAAACTCTTATACTTATATAAAAATTGAAGGGAATTGATGATGACGAATGCAAAATTAATTAAGCGGGAAGACAACTGTTGTGAGTCGTAAATGGCGGTACCCTTGCAGACGGCGAAAGAAACCAGCAATAAAAGTGTTGTTGTAACTCTCCAACACTTTGCAGCCCGCAAGCAGAACAGTTTGGCCTGTTGCTACTTTTGGTTTATAGACTTCTCAGAGCGTTTACCGTTTCGGGTAAGGAACTTTACCAAATTGTGAAACGTAACTGACTTGTCGAAGCACCGCTCACCGCGAAAACAGGGTGTATGCAATTAGCGTTGGCAAGACTGAAAATATATGGAAAACTTTTACGAGAAACTTTGGGTCATTTGTTGAAAAACACACAGAAAAGCTTTGCAGAAGACTTGAAAAGACAGAGGTAAAAAATTATTGTAATAAGCTATAGAAAAGAGACATTTCTTTGAAAAATAGGGAAGCTTCAGTGAAATGTAACTCAGAGTCAATATTTAATAAGTTTATTTGTTTCAGTCTTGCCCAACCGTATGTTGTGTTAGATTTGGCGTCAACCTTCAACTCAAATCGGACGGCAAGAAAGAAAAGAGGCAATGTTGCATTTTGCGAGGGAGAATACAGCTTTTCCTTAGATATAAAGCGTTTACATTGTGTGCTGACTTCCAAGCCTTAGGCATGCACGCCATTGGATTTGGGCAAAAATCCAGCACTCCAACTTAATAACCGACGGATTTCCTCTAGACTTGTAAGAAGCTGCCGGAATTTTCCGTGAGTGCGTTATGGAATAGCAAGTCATTTTTTAATTTACTTTTTCTTCAATCATAGTTTAGATTCTATATTGTATGCAGCTATAAATAGTAAGATAAGAATTGCAAGGTGATGAATCAGTCCTTATTACGGTTACTTCGACTGAACTGATTAACTTAACGTGCGTGTTGCGCATGGCTAGTAGAGCAAACAAAGAACATATTCTCCGGTGTTTAACCAAATCATTACAGAGATCACTTTGTTCAATTGCTGGGCCTTGAACTGTAATAACCTCAACTGTACAGATGTCGACGAAAGTTTAACAGTGTTTTTGGAGGTTCTTCTCTTTTGTCATGCTTGGATAAAGGTGGGAATGAAGTGACCATCTAGTTGCAACTCCAACAGAACTTGTAGGTTATATAAACAAGTAAATCATGATTTCTGGGAGTGTCTTAATCCTCGCGAGAAATACCTTCTGCAATTTCTTGATTAATGATCACGTTAAAAAGAGACCACGTTTGTAAATTATCTTTGTATCACTGCGCTTCAATATTCTTATTGCAGGAAGCAGTATCGGATTTCTGAAATGATACCACCTTTTCTAAATGCAGTCTTCGGCATAGAAGAACACTGCATACTGCCATAGTTGGCTCAATTTGAAGCACGTGTAATGTACTAATGTAGCGTTGTTGAGCAAGGAAGTCATGAAACGATAAAAGTCGTTCATTAACTCCTTCAAGTTTAATGAACGATAGCATGATATCATTGGCTGACAAAAGATAGACTACATTTTATCACTGGCATGTTCTAGCCTCTCCCGATCGCTTTACGCACGATACAGCTACTACGCGATATTGCACCTCCCTGTCTAATCGAGCTTTCAAGCGAAACGGGGAGCATAGAAAGTATGTTAACAACAAGGCCATATATTCTTTGCAGTCAGATTCCAGAAATTTGATTTTTTTTTCTTCATTACCCTTAATAAAACCTTCCTTTAAGGATGAGTGATTTTTCTTATAAGCCAGCGTAACTGATATGGTTGAAAACTCTATTTCTTAACTATCCGCATGAACCATAAGTCAGTTGAAAATCACTTCGCCTTTTTTAAACGCGTCAAATTTAGCTATGAGCTCATCAGTTGTGGGTCGTTACAATATATTCTACGTTGTAGAACCTTCACAGTTATAATTCAGTTCGACGCCTTTTTAATACAACGCAGGTTTGCGACATGCAAGGTTATTTTTAAATTCAATCCAACGCTAACAATATTAGTATTACTTTCCCTCATCGAACAAGTATCCATCGCGAATCCATCGGACATCCGGTGTGATAAGTAAGCGTGCATTTCCTGAGTCAAGTGGGTGAGCAGCCGTCGACAATTGGAACGAGATAAAGCAATTGTATATTGTAAACATTTGAACAAAATGAAATGTTTATCCTGGAGCAAAGGAAGAATTTAAAGGACAGCGCAATCGCTAAGGCGAAGTAGTATCATTCGAAACTAGCTGAGTGATTTCTCACTTCTGTGTTCACGAAGCTATGTCATATCTAAGCGCGTGATCCCTTTGTTTTCTCAGACCCTCCCAATAAGCTTTTTATGTCAGCGTATTAAAAAAAATATTGATATTAATAAAAGAAAAATAATGAAAATCTGGCATTAAACCAAGGTCCGATTAAATTCAACCGCTTGAATAGTGCGTAGATATCGTTGACAGCTCGGGTTTGCTTGGCAATTACAGCGCAACCACAAGGCTGATATATTCCATTTTCGATATCGTTGAAAAAGTTAAAGCGAACGCCTCTACAATTTGAATGAGTTTTGAATATTGCGCGATCGTCGCGTGACTGTAGAAGAGAATCGAGTGCAGGAGGATTTTGCCAGAGTTCTCTTAATTCTTTGAGAAATAATTTCTTTTGATTAAAAAAAAAAACATGCAGAAGTAAACCTTATTTATCCTGCATCAGTTGTCGCCCAGTAATTGCGGTATTAATTTACTGACGGCCGTTCCGGTGTAATTGCGAAATCGCGCAAAATCTCTGCGGCCGCTAGTATTAAACTATCAAGAATGGTGAAAATGCTTCTAGCAAAATCTTGCGATCTCTTTTCCCCTTTTTTTACGGACAATTGCACCTCAATTGAATCCCTCATCCGGCCATCGTTCTCGTTATTCCTGGTGAATCCTTTGCCTTGAAGAAGAAGAAATTTTATCGCTCGTTGGTTATTTCAATGTTTAGTCTTGATCTCTTGCGTGGGCTGAATGACGTCATAACCCTACACGAGAACAATAGGTTGATTATAGACAAGGCCGTGGGACGTGTTCATGCATTATTTAAATACGACAGACGTGCTTGAAATCGTGAAACTGATCTTTTTGCCTCGCTCCTGGAGAATAATATTTAGAAAGGCTAAACGGTGTCGAGAATGTATGTAATTCTTCGGCAGCGACGAATTTTGGCGATGTCATCGTTAGAGTTGGCGACAAACTTCAACTTTTTACGAGTTCCTGTCGAGTTTGGCGGAAATGTGACGGGGAAATGTTTCCTAGCTGAAAACGGAAGGAACTTGATTTAAAATTGGACTATTATGACTTCGTAGGCAACATTTCGGTTTCTGAAAATCAAAATAAAGGCCAAATTTAATTTTGCGTTCTCTCTAAGACAAATTGGCTGGCAGACACAAAGTTAGTCTTCATGACAGAACAATGAAATACCGTAATAGTAAACTCGCTATTCACTAAAATGGTCGCTTTCCATTGGACGATCTAACGATTAACGTTTCACTCCGACAGGTCGCCAGCCAATCAGACAAAAGCGATGCCAGCAAGGTATCACATCAAATAAAGAGCGACAGGTTTTATCGGCGACAGACGGCACAAAGTTTGTCGCCAACGCCGCCACTCCAAAACACAAACGTTCGCGGAGCAAACTTTGTGTCCGTATGATAACTTCCGAGGAGGTTCGCAACCAAGCCGTTTTGATGGAGCTGCAATTTTTTTCGCCTCAAGGACACGAAAATGGCTGCGAGTGACTCTGCTGAGACAGTGCCGCCGCTTGGAGAGACGACTACCGGTTTGTCACATGCTAATGAACTTAAGACACTACGAGAAAAACTTGGAACCAGCGATAATCGTGACGAATCTCACGAACTGAATGCCGACCGCAGCATCTCCGTGCAAATGCCTCCTTTGAATTCGAGCTCAAACTCGGTGGCGAAGCCTGCCGGTCATGGCAGCTTTATCCACTCTGAAAGCTCTAGTTTTAACGTGAAAATAGAGCCTAGTGATGCCAGCCAGAAAAATATAGCCGGCGATCCGGCTCGCGGCTTTGACAGTGTTAGCAGCGAAAGGCCAGTCGGATCTGATCAAGGACTTGTGACGGAAGAGCCGTTAGAAATTCAGTGCGGTGAGAATGCTGCCCTGTTGTACGTGTCTAAATTGTGCCAAGGAAGCAAAGGACCGTGTATTTTATTTCAAAACGACTGGCTTACACCGAATGAGCTTCAGTACATCAGCGGACGAGAAACTGCCAAGGACTGGAAAAGAAGTATTCGCTACAAAGGAAAATCTCTTAAGAGTTTGATTGCGCGCGGGTTGATAAAAGTTCACCCACCTATATGTGATTGTCTGGGCTGCAGAATCTCGTCACCTGTGGTAAGAATTGATTTTCTGTTTGTTAACATCCCAAAACATAACAAAATGCTTTAGTTTGAAAAAAGATTTTGCGACTTCGTTGGTTTCAAATCTTGTAGTGTGATGCCACCACTGAGATAAGGCTGGTTTTATGCCTGCTAGCAGCGCTTGTGGTGTGTTATTTTAATTATGCTTATTGTTTATATCATTATCGATCTTCGTTTTGTTTAGCATAGCTGGCATCTTAGCTGAAATCAAGTTCCCGGGCTAGGGCTGAGGTAAACGGCGCTCCAATATATGCAGACACCATTATTAACGATTGAAAAACAGCTTGGTTATTCCGCCCCCGGTGCATTTCTTAGATACGATTTGTATTTTGGTACTAACACCTTGATAAATTGATGACAATGAGAAAGCACAGTGGAAGTTAAGATAATTATATTCTGTTCAAAAAATTTTGAGGGAAACGAGGGAGGAAAAATGACCGAAACTGGTTGCATGCGGTTGATGCTTTTTGAAAAGAACATAGGACTTTAGTGAAATGTTTGCGAAGACTATCAAGGTGACGGAAAAGGCGGTGCAACGAGGTGATAAAATTGACAGCTTTCAAGAAACAATAGCTCTTGAAATTGTTTCACAGTTTGGGTCCAGCTGGAACGGGGGGCCTCTATGAAAGAGAGTACATCAGACGGTCTACAGCGAGGCCAGTTTGCTTTGTACAAAAAAAATTATTCCTATCTCGGCTGGAGACGTCTTCAGCAAACTAGTTGTGTCGTTCATGTGTGAAAGTGAGTTGTTAATGCTATCTTTTGTTCTTTTGTTGGTTCGATTGAACAGAACCTGAAAACTTTTGATTATATTGACATCGTAGACAAGATATTTCAATCACTGTTTTTTAATCATTCCCTTTTTGTCATTTTTACGACGGAACTTATGTCTAAATAGGGCAGAATGTGACATTCAACCCGTTCCGCATTTGGCACACTTCTACACATTATATAATTACAATTCGAAATTATTGTTCTAAAGGGCACGATCCGCCCGGTTTTTGACAGATGACCAGCTTGACAATGCACTTGGCTTTAGAACGAATGAAAATATTTCCGGCTCGAAGTTGAAAAAGAAATGACAAGTTCACTTTTCACGTCCGGCGACTGAAGGTCATGAAGTTGCCTCTACATTGTTGATAACAGTTGCGTATTCTAGACGAAGGCTGTGGACACGTATCATCTGCTGGATATTGCGTGCAGATATCAATATTTTCCACGTTCGCACCTGCGTTGTTTTGGAAGGATATTTGAAATCTTGTCGTCTTTTGACGAGCTCAATTGGCAGTAATTTCCGAAAGTTTCAAATTGTTGAACTGAAGAATCGATAGAAGGGAAAAACCCTAGAGTGGTTAGCATAGCTGCCTTTTAATATAATTAATAAAGCTTACGTCCCATAGGTCAAATGTCAGCATAAAACACGGCTTTAGTTGAGTAGCTTTGGTGCGCCTCACAGACGTCGCGCAAATTTTATCACGTACGCACCAACTATTGTATTTTTTATACAATTCCTTTCGTGCTGGTCCACGAGAAGGAAAGTGAATGGAATTTTTATTAGCGTAGATCTCTTATAATATCCTTTTAATGCTTTTTACGGATTATCCTATATAAAGTGTACTATTCCCGCCCGTGGTTCTTAACTTCGTTTCCATAAATGGATAAATATCCTAACATTTATCGACTGGAATAAATCTGACCGTGATCAGCTCGATATTCATGTGGTACTTCATGTAACGCGGACGTCCCTGCTTATCTGTTGTTTATTCCGCTCAATATTGTAAACACTGTGGCAACGCGCTATGTTTATAGAAGTAAGTATTTAACCTTTATTTTCGCAATCCCTTACGCCGGCTGCAAGACGCAACAGCTTGAGGGCAGCTTTTTGTAAAAGGGCACCATTCGTGCGATTCTTATTGCTGGCACAGTTCGCTAGGCTTTTTAAAACCGACGTAATAGTGCTTCAAACCTTTCGTTTAATCCATTTGTTTTCCTGGAAACAGAACCGGGGAAGATTAGCAAGCAAATGCAGTGTTTCCTCTCCGCCCTCTCCAGCTAGGAAACGCAAGGACTCTTCCAAGCCGGTATGGAGACAAGATGGTTACGAACCTGGGTTACATTTCGTCGGTACCAGACAGGGCTCTTCATCTGACCTAGAAAACTGCACGAGCGGCCAAGTTCGCAATGGTGGCGGCGGTTTGAGAGATTCGCCGGACTCAAACTCGTCCACTGCATCGGAGTGCTCTGAGCCCTTAGACGACAGCCCTTTTTCGCCCGCAGTCGAGCCTCCGAAACGAGCCCGAAGTTTATCTCCCCAAAACTTGGGAAAAGTCAACACCATGAAACGGCGAGCTAGTAAGTTTGGTCAAGTTTTATTTTTATAACGATTAATGTTTGTTCGTTCACCAACTGCGCGGATCTCCTTTCCCTATCCTTGTTTATTCCTTTTGCAAGAAAATAATCACTTATCTCAGCTGTTTGAAGAGAAGAGTAGTCAAAATATAACCCGTTCTGGGTGAGAGCTTTGTGTTAGACGAAGAGAATCTGTTAGAGGTAGTTCAGGCGTACACAGCTGTGTGATCACAGAGCCCCGATGTTTGAGTTGCAGATAGCTTGAGATCGTCTTAGCTTAAAGCTCTGTTAGTTAAAAAAAAAAAAGCAATTTCGCAATCCCTCATCAAGTGATAAAGTTCGATTTTGAAAAACAATTAATTAAGCATTTAAAAATATCACATTAACTGTGAATGATTGAAATACTGAATTTATAATTTAGATTGTCTTTTTTAATCACTGCTCTAAAGAGTTGCAGTCATTCTTGAACCTATCTTTATTGCGTTGAATTGATCACAGGTTAACCCCAAATTTTCTAATTCTTTCAAGAGGTCTTTTGAAGCAAATTTTACACTTGACGGGTTGCACGAAGGATCTAGTATCTTCTTTGGTTTGCTTTCTCAAAACAATATCATACCTTGGAAAACGCCTGTCGCTATTCTACAAGCTTTAATACGTGATCTAAATTTATGTCTTTATTTTCGAACAATGAGCCTAAGAAGTCTCAGCCAGGCGTTTCCAGGTTAGAATGAAGCAGAACGAATGCGAAAGAAAACCATAAATTTTATGAAAATTGCAGAAGAGAGCATCCATGCGCTCAATCATGGAAGGCCTTTTTGGTGTAAAGCTTGACTTTTCTTAAAGAATAGTTTAATATCTTGTTATCATAATGCCAATCAAACAGAACGTTTGTGCGTAGATTCCTGATCAGGGTCAAATTAAGGCAAAACATACCTAAAACTTTCTTGAAAAAGTTCCAGCTTACAGCTTTTTAAACAAAATTCTGAGAAGTGCAAACTAGGTTCTTTGGTTTTGATGCATGTTGTTAAACTTATAACTATGTTCTGCTTTTTCTTAATGTCATCTTTACTTTTTAAAGGAAAGTAATCCGCAGATTGGGTAGTTCAAAACGAAACATAACCTCTGCTTTCAGATTTATTTGTACAATTCACTTACTTCAGTTTAGGTTTTTCTCGCAGAGGACACAGAGCAAAAGCACAAAGGACAGACAAGTCAATGATACTTGTCTTTTCCATTGCGTATCAATTCCGTTTTAAAGAAGAAAACGCGTCTTTGACTTTCTAGTCTAAGCATTTAACATTGATCAGGAGTTCTATTATGCAGGGAAAAATAATCAAGTCAATTAAGTCAACCAAATCCTCGAAATCAGTCAATTCCAGACGGAGAGTAATTGAGCCGTGAATATGAACGACAGGAAAGCTCAGCAAAAAGTTACTTTGGACTCTATACTTTTGCTTACCGAACAGTGTTTTGACCCAATTTGTGCAGTGTGCATTTATTTTCGCCACTATAATGTCATTCTGGAAGCGATTGATAAGCTCAATATTTAAACTAACTTTTCATTTATGAACAAATGTTTTAATTTACTACGATTTGGTGCCTGACTCTCAATTGCGCGCAAATAGGCGAAAGAAATATCGTCATTATATATTTGCTCCAGATGCTGACAATTCGAGGTCGCCATTAGATTTTTTATTCTATCATTTAGTTTTCATGTTAAACCCCCTAGACCTGAATTTAAAGAAAACTGTCATAATTGCTTAATTCATCATTTCATCATAATGTCAGTACGTGAGACTATGTTGTTCGAAAGGCAAGAGCGCTAGGATTAGTGACGTCACTGATCACGCACTGGGGTACCGGCGTGTCTGCAGCAAGCCTTTTTATCTTTCTTGCAAGTTAGCAAAGAAATTAATTTTGAATGGTATCTCACTTTTCGTGCCTTACTAAGCCGGATTAACTCTTCGCTGCTGGTTGCCAACTTTAACACCCGTTTTCCTGATGTACTTTCAGAGCGGAAACACGTTATAATTAACTGGTTACTGTGAGTGCTCACCTCGCGAATGCAAATCTCAATTAACGACTTTAAAATGTTCGCTTATATTTCTCTTACGTTGTCTTCTTAGACGAGAAGAAGAAAACAAAGCTTGCGGACGCTTTTTTAGTACCAAAAATGTGCAATATTTGCACTGGTCATGTTGACATTAAGACAGTCTGCCATGAGACACTATAAGATCGATCTCGTGTGGTACCCGTGTACCCCGCAGGAAATGCCATCTCCAGAATTAACACAATATTATGTGACTTTCCTAAGACTCTTTGTCATTCTCTCACCGTTTTGTACGACATGTTAAGATAAGAAATCTTTAGGTTGTATTGCAAATAGTGACAATCTTTTGCAATCTTGTCCCGACGAACATTAGAAAATATAGCTCCTAAGTCAAACTGGGCTCCTGTTGTCATGACAACAAATACATGATTTTAAAAAAGTAAGATAAATTAAATCAGTATGGATATCCGAATAAATTCTTTTCTAAGATCTCTGAATACAGGAGCACGACTGACATGTCAATGACCGTTATTTTGCCTTCTCACAAGTGTGTTAAGATTTTCGTCTGAAAGTTACCGCTCTGTTTCGGCTGTTTCTAATATACGAGCCAGGGTGTCTGAGAATTGACTTGTGATGGATACGCTTGAACTCTGGTATACTGAAGAGGGCGGCAGAAATCTGTCAACACACAGCTGCCTTAAATTGTTGCTGGCTTCTTATTTTACTAATAAAATGAGACACAACGCTTCATAGATTTTTCATTTTACTGTCTTATCGGAAAATAGCGGTGTTGAAATGATATTTATTTACTATAGGTTTCACTAGATGAGTAGCAGAAAAGCAGGTTGAAAAGAAGCGCTGACTAAGTAAGGAGGAAATTCCCTTTTCCTCAGCCTCGTTGAATCTATCTGTCTCGCAACAACTGGTTTTTAACTAACATTCCTCTTTCATCTGTTTCCCTTCTACAGCAGATAGGTTCCAGTTTGACCCCAGGAACACGTTCTTCTTCAGAGATATCCCTCCGGAATGGGCAAATGCCACTGTTGTTGATAATTCCAAGCAAGTTAGAAGAGATCATACACCTCGCATTTCTCCCTCGCAAGAAACCGGGGGATCTCCAGGAGGACCCCAAGGGGGACCTCAAGGTGCCTCAGGGAGAGGAAGTGCTTTCAGGGCGGTCCACCAAGGTGAGAAGAACATTGTTATGGCGATTTTTTGAGACAAGAAAGAAAAATGATCTCATTCTTGGCTACCCTTAAAACCCTGGTGTGATACCTCTTGAGTTGTTTCAAAAATTTGAAACGCTTACGTAGAAAGATGCAGATCAACATGGTTTGTGTGTGGTCGTATAATGTATTCCTCGGCAATCTCTCCTCAAATCTCATCAAAGGCAAGGTGAACTTAAGCACCAAGGATTCAACCAAAATAACTACCATTAACCTTTAACTCCTAGAAGTGATCAACATGTTATTTCTCCTTACCATATTCATACGTTATCCATCAAACAGGTAATAAGAATACTCAAACTTATCAGCAAGAAGTTGTTATATTGATCTAACCCCAAATTCTCGTGACTTACAAGAATTTGAGTAGATGAGTAGCAGTGAGGGGAGAAATAATTATTGGCAAAGTAAAACTTTGATAAGGGGTATGGTCGATTTCACGGAATCCTTTTTTTCGGGACTTGCTAAGGGGTGACAAGAAAGGTTTTTGCCACTAACAAGAAATTTCTAAGTAAGGAAAGCTGTATAACCGGCAGCGTTCTTGCGAAAAAGTGTTTGTCTGTAATAGTGAAAGATGTAAAAACATTTCTCGTTTTGATCTTGTAGATGCGTTAAATTCGCACAGTGAGAGGGCTGCTGAAAACCATGTTAACCAGGATATACTGACGCGTGAACTTACGGCGCGAGCAGGCTCAAACTCCAAACAACAGCAAAAACCACAATCAGTCAACTGTCAACCTTTCATCCCGTTCACTCAATTACCCAGTCCCTCCCCCCTCGTAAGTCCATCACACAACTCGCCGAGGTTGTTACCAGACCCCCTGCTTTTGACTTCACCTCACAGCCCTAGCATTTACCATCAAGCCCTGCGTGGTGGACTGCCGGGAGTCTCATCTGCCCTTCACCAGAGCTTAATGCACTACAGACTACTGACACCTCCTACTCAACACAACCCATTGACGCAGAACATTCCTTTCCAATCCTCTTTCATCCAAGCCAACGCAGCTGCTGCGGCAGCCGCTCGCGCGGGGCTCCAGGGCCTCCCTGTCTCACATTCATCATTGGCAATGCATCGAGGGTCCAGATCTTCATCGCCCAGGAACACACCGGTGGTCAACGGTCACACGGAAGACAATAATTTTGTGACGAAGGCCCGGATTTCGAACATGGAGGAGGAGAGACCTGCTCCTGAGGTTTGCGAAAATAAAAAAGAGGCTGAAATCGGTAGCGAAAACCGACACTCTCAGGCATTGACCGCTGACCGCGATTGTGTAATACGAAGAAGTCCCGAAGTTGCTACAGCCTCAGATGAAAGACAAAGTCCAACAGCTACACCCAAAGCCTCTCCGAACCCTAAAGAATCGTCACGAGTATCACCACACAAGCTTGTGCCTCGTTTCCGACCAGATTTAAACGAGAATGTACTGGAATGGACAGTTGATGACGTTTGTCAGTTCGTCGCTTCGTTGACGGGGTCTGCTGAAATTGCGCATGCGTTCAGGGAGGAACACATTGATGGACATTCATTTGTTTTGATGCAGGAAGATCATTTGTTAACTCGAATGTCAATCAGACTTGGACCCGCCTTGAAAATCATTGCGCAGATCAAGAAACTCACCGAGAATTTAGAATTGGAAAATGGCACCTCGAATTGAAAGCTGAATATGCCTTAAAGATCACGAAGATCCTAGCCAGAAGATCTCGTTTTCAATTCAGGGAAGTGCAGTAGTTTCGCGTGCTTATATCCTTGGCTTGACTGTTTGAAGTCAAACAGTATTCAATCCGTTTGAAAAGGGAAACTCAGAATATAGTGACGCTCCATTTGAACACGACTTGGATGAAAATGTTTGATCATTTAAAGTAAAACAAAAAATCGTGGAAAAGTTCAGCGCCATTTGTATGTGCAGCGGTGTAGTTAAAGCCATAGAAGAGATTTTTTCGTGGGGATAATCTCACGACCCTCGTGGCTGCGCCATATGGCAAGGGCGAAGTTCATTTGTAATATGTGCCATAATTAGACTCTATTTCCGTCAGTGATCTCCATTTCGTCTAGCAATCGAACCTAAATTATTTAAAGACCTCAGACCTCTCAAGGTAGGCGGATTTAACGCATTTTCATTATCACATGGTACGTGAGTAACGCCCGTTTTTCATCGCTAACTTGACCTTTTATCACAGTTTTACTGACCCAGCGGAAATCATGGTCAAGATTTTAGGATTTCCGTCATCTGTCATCGCGGCTAAAGCGTACGTGCGTACAAAACAATTAAGCATTTTTTTATCCAAGGAAAAATGTGGCTGGGAGTATATCGAGTGTAAAAAAATATCTTTGTTAAGTTTCGACACAGAACCACAAACTCAAAGCATGTTTTCTATGGAAGTAAGTTTGTTTTCGAAATGTGTATAAACAGGCTTTGGCATTTTAAGTTGTTGTTCAGAGTTTTTCTAGAACATACATGTTGTGCTTCTCTTTCTAGGCAATCGGGGAATGTGTTGTCTGAGCGTTTGTGACAGGGGCGCTCCGAAAAAATCGGGACGACATTTCTTTTATTTATAATAAAAGAGTCGATAAAAATTGTCGCTTAGAGTCAAAAGCGTTCAAAAACGCTCTTTACTATTATTTTTTTATACATAGCTTGTCTATAAAAAAAAAACGCGAGTAGGACAAAGTTCTACAGTCCTGGTCCATAAGAGATTAGATGAGAAATAGCTTGTAAATTAGATAATATTTATAAATACATTATTTCTTGCGATCTTATTTGATATTGTTGAAAAAGGCAACTTTTATAGCTTTCGCATGTTCAGGAAACAAGCAGTCCTTCTTTCCGGGAATAGTCCATATTTGAAGTGTCACGCCAAGACTGGTGAGAATTGTGTGACACTCACCCACACAAAACGTCACGGCCAATGCCTCGGCCAGTAATGACCGCGCGTGCGCCACTCGTTAGTGAGAACTAAGGACGGACCGATATGCTTTTTCCGAATCGATACAATACCAAATATGATACTGACGTTTTTCTTCGATATCGATTTCGATGCTGTGACATTATTGAGTCGAATGGTAAGTCACATGATTTGATTGACGAAAAAATAGGGTTATTTAGCACTGTTAATGTTATGCAGTGTTCAGTATTCCATAGGATCATGAACAAGACAGTCAAAAATTTAAAACCCGATTAAGGACGTTCTTAATCGAAACTCACGGTTGTCGATCGGTCCACTCTTACACCGTTCACACGCCACTTAGACTGGTACACTGTAGCGCTCATTTCCCATTTTCGAGCCCAGAGTATTTTTGGCTCCTTGTCGGTGGTTGGTCAATGGGGTGAATCAAAGCGCAGACATGTCACGTGCAGTTTCGAAAGCATCGATACTCTTCGCTGGTATCTTAATTTTCCGAGTGGACGTCGGTATCGTTGGTATCGAATATTTGTTATCGGCCCATCCTTAGTGATAACGAGTTTCTGTCCCACTTTTTTTCGTTTCACGCCACGCTGGTTAAACTGGAAAGAAGGCCTCCTCGTTGACTGTTCGCTTCTTTCTGGGGATGATGTTGCCCCCGCTTCTTTTCACAGGTTTATGGCTGAACATAAATTGTTTTGTCTTCCTCGGTACAGGTTGCCGCGAATTTAATAGAACACGTTGACGTTGATGCATTGTACTTAAAGCTAAAGAGTGTCGATTTTGAGAAATAAAAGTTTAAAATACTTACTCGTTTGTCCGTGGTAAAAAATTCGAAACGAAACAAAGCAGTGAAGCGATAATTGATTGAAAAAGGATAGGTAAGCGATACAGCCTCCAAACATTCATATTCTCTATACCCTACTCTTTTCATGTCCATTGGTACCGACAAGGAGAATTTGTTTGACAATCAAAGCTTCTTAGGTTGGCGATCATTTCCTTTGTTCTCATGAGCCCAATAAATGATTCGGGGGCATTTTATAAGGAGAAATTACATGCTGACTACTCTCATGAATGAAGGAGCAAATAAATGGCGAAAAGACAAAAAGAGAACATATTTCCTTATTGACGAAGCCCAAAAATTCTGCAACCATCCCGATCTGTGGAAAAGAGCAGAATATGGGCGCGCGAAAAATCATGGTCGCGGACTAAACGGGAGCGTGAAGAAAGAGAAAACGAGACGCGACACAGCTGTTTCCCTGGCAACAACAACCGTTGGGTGCGCTTGCTTGTCGACGTACGTACGCCCGCATGTCGCTCCTCTCCACTGTTTAAAGGCCTGACACAGGCTACCGCCAACCCTTCCCAATTCTTTCTGTAACGTACACCAGTCTAACTGTGCAATGAAGACAGTCATTCGGCAGATGTAGAAATCACTTGAACGTGAGCGCAAACTGCAAGTTCATGTTCACTTGCAAGTTCACTGTGCATTTCGTCAGATATGGGCACATATGGTGTAGTTGTACCAATTTTAGTTTCAACAATAGCACTGTCTAACACTGCTCTATTGCTCCCTAATCTTAACACTTTTTAAAAAGGTTCGAGATATGCTCTCATGTTTTATTTGAAGTGATATCTTACACACAGACAAAGTTTACTAAATATCAAGATGTGTTATTCGTCATTTAGATCTACTGTTATTCGTCATTTAGATCTACACTTTCAAAAGAGTACAGATATCTCATAATGATTTGATCGCGCCGTCTTGAGCAAAAACCAAACAGAGGTAACAGTAAACTGATGGGGAACTCTTCAGCTAAGGTTTTCAAAGGTACTAAGCGTCACACCAATGCAATACATGTCACACAATTATCAAACTGGTAAGGAACTCTTTAGGTGAGTCCTCATTTCTCGCAGAGCGCCGTGACAAGCCCTCTATAGGGTAACTTTCGAAACCAAGGAAAGGTGCTTAAGCATTACACAATTGTAATATGTCACCACAATAGAAGACTTTTGAAGAGGACCGTTCGTACACTATACACGTACAAGTTACGTCGCAAGCACTTGTCACGCAAGGTTCCAGCAATGTCACGCGGTATATTCACAAGATTCACTGACCATCAATATAACCTTTTTTCATATGAATGCAAGCCGTGGACGCCTCCTTCCTTTTGCGCCGACGGAGTCCTTTTTTCAAACTTAAGTCGACCGCTATACATCATGGATCGAGTGGCAGAGAGGCTCCTGGTACCCATGTCTTGGCAACCATGTTGAATACCCGCGTAGAGATATGGAACAAAGCGGTGGACACTTCCCTTGTCTGGCACTGTTCCAGACACCCCTTGCGCCACTTTCAGTCTGTCGCTTTCTACAAAGTAACGACTTTGGCTTGATCCATGCTCCAACGCGTCCAGTGAGCCCATACCTATCGAAAAAAGAAGCATACGAGCTGGATTAGCCGTCGGTTGGACTTCATTCGTTTATCAGTTTATGCGTAAGTTTAAAAGTAAGACCGAGTTTTGTGCGTCATGAAACATCAATTCGGATCGGAAGACAATCGGCCGGCAATCGGAAGACCGAGGGACCCCACAGTTTTTTTCATTGTTCCATGTTGGTGAGAGATCAATGTAACACCACTCTGTATTTGAGCTCAAATATCCACCATCTCAGTTCTCACTCTATAACCACTGAAATAAGTGTGAATCTCATAACGCATTCGTTTTTATCATCAGACTCAAACAGCGATACAAGGCTGCTTGTGGTTAGCGCCCTCGAACTTGACGTGACGAAATGCAAGGGTTTACCTCTGATGGAATCGACTTCCCATCCAGGGTAAAATCATTACTCCTTGAAAGTTCTCGCCACAGAGAGCGAGATCACCCACGACAGTGGAGGGAACAACGCGAACAAGACTTCATGTTTCCATCTGTGGTAAGCATTTGTGAGACAGGCACACCGAACCTTTGGCATAATCAGTGTAAATTAATGATAGCTCTATGTGTCTTAATTGAAGACAATGAGTTGTTGAGTGAGAGCTTATAGAGACCGAGAAAAATCGAAACGGTTATAAGCAAATGCACCACCGAGAGTGCACTAAGCTTCTCAACGCGTTTCTGACATATATGTTAAGTTTAATGATTCATCATATACCAATTTATTTCTAAATATAGGAATAAGAGGCTATAATTCCTTTACCCGCAGGAAATTAAAGATATTACCACCGAGACTAAGAATAAAACAGTATCATCAATTAATGTGTATATAATGAAACGGTTAAGGCCGGATGGAAACCTTTTTCGTCAGGACATGATTCAAACTCTAAGTCGAGAGATCAGCAGATTCTATTCGCAGATGCCATTAATACCTTAGAGCAATTGAGTAGAAGTAAAATTATCTATCAATCAACCAAAGCTTTTTTGAGGTTTGAAGGAATGAAAAGGCGCTTGGAAAGACCGCACACCAACCTTAAAACATTAATCAAATTGAAGGCAGGCATATGTCGGAATTGAAAAATTGTCGGTTTATTAAATTCCTCGCGGCGAAAAAGGTGTCTGCTGTCGCTTACACCTACTGCAACTGTCCTTTATTGCGCAATTGGCGTACCATTTAAAATAGATCAACGAGTTTTATATTTATGGAACACAAGAGGTAAAGAAAACATACAGAGAGATTTTAATTAATAGAGCCGGAAAGATTTCTCATCTTTTTTAAACCCACTTAACGGATAAACAGTCTTTCTCCACGGATAAAGATCATCTCGTGTGGCTTTGATTGCCTAATTTAATACAAACTTTTCAATTTCCGGGTGGTTATTTGGCGGGCGGAACTGTTCATAGCCTTCATGACCTTCTGAATTGATAAATGCGTTCTCTGCACGCAATGGATAGCAGCAAATTTGTTACTTCCTTTGCTAAAAAAAAAACATTTTTGCGCAATTTTTTAAACAGGTAGAGTATACAGGCGTGAAACAAAATAAAGATAAACAAGATTTTCATTCAAACATACTTTCATTGCAGGGTTTTCTGAAATGCTCGAGTAGTGCATTGTGAAACATCACGACAGTTCATTAGTTTCAAAATCTTATATTAGTAAAACGGAAATTGTTTTGAGTTCCTGCTTATCTCCACTACATATATCACTCAATCTTATGACGGAAGGTTTAAGTACGGTTTGCTCACATATCTGAATTGAAAAATTAAGAGAGAAAGCCATCGAAACAGTTTTAAATTGTCGGAAATAACGCGGAAAGGCCTGCAATGAATATGGAAATCTAAATTGCCCCTATCGATGGAAAATATCGCCAAGTGTTTCCCAAGGTGAATAAGAAATCGTGAGAGGCCCTTCCAGGGGTCGAGGCCGTGGAGCAATTTTCAACCGAGCGGCGTAAAAAGTAATCCAAGATTATATTGGTTCTGCTTCTCTATGCCTTGTGATTAGTCTAAGAATTTCGCGCGACCTCAATCAATAAGATGCGAAACTAGAGTAATCAGTAACCAGTAATCACAGTAGCCAATCAGGACAAAGGAAAATATCATAGGGAGCCAATAACAACTCAAAGAAAAAACTAGCGCGGGAAAACTCGAGCGACCAAGTCGCGAGTGGTTTTAATTTTGAAACTGATTGGTCGAGAAAGTGGTACGAGTTTTATGGACCAATCACAGACCCAAGTAAAGGAAGCCCGGATTTCTTTGGATCCTCATTTGAAAATTGTTCTAAAACCAACTTGGCCTCCCGCGTTTTCCCGCGCCTTAGGCAGTAGTTCATTTTTTCTTGTTATTATTTCCCCTTAGCTCTGATTAGCCGTTAAGATGAACTTGGTATTGTTGTAAAAAAGTACTCAAGTATGATGAAAAAGGCGAATAACATAAGATCTGACTCCAGAAGCGACCGATTCATTTTAAAAAAGTACTTGGTGCTATAGTTGGCCTTTACCTCTATACTTCTTTAGTCGAACACCATCCGAGAAAAAATACTCTCCGGGTGTCTCTGTGGTCCCCGCCAGGAGCGAACCCATCATGACAGTTGATGCTCCAAGAGAAAGCGCCTTTAAAATGTGACCAACATTTCTAATTCCACCATCAGCAACCACAGGTATTCCAAACCTTCGCGCATACTCTGCCACCCGGAATACAGCTGTGGCCTGGGGCCGACCGACTGCCATAACCTCTTGTGTAATACAAATTGACCCGCTTCCCATTCCCACTCGAAGAGCGTCCGCGCCTGCGTCTATCAGGTTTTTTGCCTGAGCAGCGGTCACAACATTTCCGGCTATCACCTTCAAGAGAAAGGAGAGAAGAGGATGGTTTTTATTATTTTAGCCATCGCGTTTCCCACCAAGTAAAGTACAAAGCAAAGGGAAATTATTACCAACTGCGAGAGGAAGTAACAGTTACAACGGATTCAAACGAAGTTCAAACAGGAAAACACTCGAGGATCACAAGAAATCCACGAGGCCAATTGTAAGAAGAGCATCTCTAAACCCACTTAAAGTTTCATTCGCAAAATCAATGGAAATTTGGCAATGGACGTTTTACAATGTGTCCACTGTCCACTGTCTCCAGGTCGAATTGGATTTTGGTATGTTGGTCTGTTGAGAGGAAAACCGGAGGACCGGAGAACCATCAACAGACTCAAGTCACATGAGAGGCTAGGTCCAGGAATTAAACCCGGTGAGAGGCGAGCGGACGAGAAAGGACGGTGACTCTCTAAGTGCGTTCATGATCGTAATAGATTTTCTTAAAATGCTCTGAAAACATACCTGCAGATTCGGGTAGTTCTCTTTGATGTACTTTATAAGGTTAATTTGGA